GGTACACACCATGGGGTAACCCATGGTTTTACCTATGTGACCACAGAGAGGACATGAGGAAGCACGATGGAAAACTCACTTCGATCCTAGATGCATGGGTACATCTACGAGTTGTGAGGAAAAACAATCTCAAAAGGGGTTCCTTCCAAGAAAAACGCTGTTCCAGTTTCCAGTGGGAAATTCCCCAGGCAGAGTAGAAGGGCTGATCTCACTTCCAATCATCCTGAAGGGACTTCTAAGTTATTTTCACAAGAAAATGGCACATCAGACTCACAGGGGTATAAGGCTCTAGTAGACACCGGTGCATAATGCTGTCAAGCTATAAAGGGGCAGAACCCATCTGTATTTCTGGAGTGACAGGGGGAACCCAACAGCCAACTGTAATGGAAGCTGAAGTGAGTCTAACCAGGAACGAGTGGCATAAACACCCCATTGTGACTGGCCCAGAGGCTCCGTGACTCCTTGGCACAGACTACCTTAGGAGAGGGTATTTCAGGGACCCAAGGGGGTACCGGTGGGCCTTTGGTATAGCTGCCCTGGAGATGGAGGAAGTTGAACAGTGCCCACCTTGCCTTGGCTCTCAGAGGACCCTTCTGTGGTGGGATTGCTGAAGGTTGAAGAACAACAGGTGCCAATCACTACCACAACAGTGCACCAGCAGCAATATTGCACCTATGGAGACTCCCTGATTCCTATCCATAAGCTGATTCGCCAGCTGGAGAGCCAAGGGGTGATCAGCAAAACTCACTCACCCTTTAACAGCCCCATATGACCAGAGCAAAAATCTAATGGAGAGTGAAGACTAACAGTAGACTATCGTGGCTTGAATGAAGTCATGCCGCTGCTGAATGCTGCTGTGCCGGACATGTTAGAACTTCAGTGTGAACTGGAGACAAAGGCAGCCAAGTGGCACACCATAACTGATGTCGCTAATGCATTTTTTTCTATTCCTTTGGCAGCAAAGCGCAGGCCACAGTTTGCTTTCACTTGGAGGGGTGCAGAGTACACCTGGAACCAATTGCTCCAGGGGTGGAAACAGTCCCACCGTTTGCCATGGACTGACTGAGGCTGTACTGGAACAGGGTGAAGGTCCAGAACACCTGCAATTCATTGATGACATCATCGTAAGTGGCAACACAGCAGAAGTTTTTGAGAAAGGGAAGAAAACAGCTCAAATCTTTCTGAAGGCTGGTTTTGCCATAAAACAAAGTAAGGTTAAGGGACCTGCACAGGAGATCCAGTTTTTGAGAATAAAATGGCAAGACAGGCATCACCTTGATCCCAATGGATGGCATCAACAAGATAGCAGCCATGTCTCCAGCAACTAGTAAAAAGGAAACGCAAGCTTTCTGAGGCATTGTGGGGTTTTGGAGGATGCATATTCCAAATTACAGTCCAATTGTAAACCCTCTCTGTCAAGTGACCCAGAAGAAGAATGATTTCAGATGGGGCCCTGAAAAACAACAAGCCTTTGAACAAATTAAACTGAAGACTGTTCATGCAGTAGCCCTTGGGCCGGACTGGGCAGGGCAAGACGTTAAAAACATGCTCCATACCGCAGCCGGGAAGAATGATCCTACCTGGAGCCTCTGGCAGAAAGCACCCAGGGAGAACCAAGGCTGACCTCTAGGGTTTTGGAGTCAGGGATACAAAAGATCCGAGGCCCACTATACTCCAGCTGAGAAAAGAGATATTGGCAGCATATGCAGCAGTTCAAGCTCCAGCCACTCAGAAGTGGTTGGTACCGAAGCACAGCTCCTCTTAGCACCCCGACTGCGAATGCTGGGCTGGATGTTCAAAGGGAGGGTCTCCTCTACACATCATGCAACTGATGCCACATGGAGTAAGTGGGTTGCACTGATAACACAACAGGCTCGAATAGGGAGCCCTAGCCCTCCAGGAATTTTGGAAGTGATCACAAACTGGCGAGAAGGCAGATTTTGGAATGTTGCCAGAGGAGGTGGTGACAGGTGCTGAAGAGGCCCCACCATATAAACTACCAGATAACAAGAAGCGATATGCCCTGTTTACTGACGGGTCCTGTCACGTTGTGAGAAAATATTGAAGGTGGAAGCCTGTTGTGTACAGTCCCACACGATGAGTTGCTGAAGCTGCTGAAAGGTGAATCGAGTCAGTTTGCAGAGGTGAAAGCCATCCAACTGGCTTTAGATATGGCTGAGAGAAAGGCAGCCAGTGCTCTGTCTCTATACTGACTCATGGATGGTGGCAAATGCCTTGTGGGGGTGGTTACAGCAATGGAAGCAGAGTAACCGGCAGCACAGAGGTAAACCCCTCTGTGCTGCTGAATTACAGCAAAATATGGCCGCTCAGGTAGAGAACCTGGTTGTGAAAGTATGTCATGTAGATGCCCATGTAGGGCCAACTGTGGAACATCAAAACAACCAACAGGCAGATCATGCTGCTAAGATTGAAGTGGCTCAGGTGGATTTGGACTGGCAACATAAGAATGAAATATTTAGGGTTTGTTGGGCCCATGACACCTCAGACCAGCAAGGGAGTGATGCAACATACAGATGGGCTCATGATGGAGGGGTAGACCTGACCACAGACACTATCGCACAGGTTATGGATGAGCGTGAACATGTGCTGCGATCAAGCAAGCCAGGTAGTTGAAACCTCTGGTATAGATGGCAATGGCTGAAATACAAATATGGGGAGGCCTGGCAGATGGATTATATCACGCTCCCAAAACCTGTCAAGGCAAGTGCCATGTGCTTACAATGGTGGAAGCAACGACTTCACAGCTGGAAACATGCTGTGCCACATGCCACCACCCGGAACACTATCCTGGGCATTGAAAAACAAGTCTTATGGTGACATGGCACCCCACAAAGAACTGAGTCAGGCAACAGAACTCATTTCCAAAACAATCTCATAGACACCTGGGCCAAAAAGCACGGTACTGAGTGGGTATACGACTTCACAGCTGGAAACATGCTGTGCCACATGCCACCACCCGGAACACTATCCTGGGCATTGAAAAACAAGTCTTATGGTGACATGGCACCCCACAAAGAACTGAGTCAGGCAACAGAACTCATTTCCAAAACAATCTCATAGACACCTGGGCCAAAAAGCACGGTACTGAGTGGGTATAGCACACCCCCTATCACGCACCAGCCTCCGCGAAGATTGAACAATACAATGGACTGCTAAAAACTACACTGACAGCAACTGAGGTTGGGACCTTCAAACCCTGGGATAAACATTTAGCAAAAGCCACCTGGTTAGTTACACTACAGGATCTACCAATCGAGCTGGCCCTGCCCAATCAACACTCCCATGTACAGTAGAAGGGGATAAAGTCCCTGTAGTGCACGTGAAGAATATGTTAGGGAAGATAGTCTGGGTGGACTTTGTGGGTGATGCAGAAGGATGGGGTTCAACGAGTACCGGAAGGGGAATTAATTTTGGGTGAAAATAGCCAGAGAATTAAATTGTATGATGTCAACTGCCAAATAACCCTGCCACTGTACGTTATCACTACCGCAGTTGCTGTGTGTCATATCAGTGGCATTACAGTAAGAGTCACTTAAATCAATGAAGGATGGACTTTGATGAAACCGAGCAAGGGGCAGCAGTGATGGAACTTGAACTGGCTTCAGCAACTGGCACCCAGCAACCTCCTCAAGATCAACATCTTCAAAGTGCAGACTGTGAGCATGGGGTGCACACAGCCATGAGCACCAGATGCAGCATGAAACAATCCGACACTATCTCTGCTGCCCTGAAAGACTGTTACAACAGACAGAGCCCCAAAGTCATGGATTAAATTAACTCAATGGACACATTACAGGGATAGCCCATAGACTAAGGGAACGATATCTGTGTGTATATATACATATCAAGGACAGGAAAAGTAGTGGCAAATAATTGGAAAGTGTAGGATCTGGGCATGACATAGATGGTATAGAACAAGGGTGGGATAATGTCCTGGGTTTGGCTAGGATAGGGTTAATTTTCACAAGAACCTGGGAGAGGGCACAGTCAGGACAGCTGAACTGAACTGTCCAAGGAGATATCTGATACCATACAATACAGATACTGTACTGACAACATGCTCAGTATACAAGAGGGGAGCAGGTGGGGAGTTGCGCGCCGCTCCGGAAGGCTGCAGGTGTCAGGGTCTGGGTGGTGAGCAGTTGTGGTGTTCTTCACTCGCTTTATACGTTACTTCACTAGTACGGTTGCTGGGAGGTTGGGAGGGAAATTTTTTGAAAGAGGCGGGAGGAGGGAGCAAGCAGCCCCATGGAGCTTTGTTGCTGCCTGGGCCTAACCTACGACACCCATAAATTTTGAGTGTAACACTGTCCTGTACGCTTTATTTATCATATCAAACAATCCCATATTAAACATCATTGCAGACATATATAAGTTACAGTCCTACTGTTTAACACTTTTCCTTACATTTCATAGATGGGAACCTGAGGTACAGACTAAGAAGTCCTCACAGAAATTAATATAATGTATGATGGACATATCTATTCATCAGTCCAGCTGAGAAAACAGTGAGGTCAGAACAAGGCTGTGACGAACTTCATAATCCCATTATCCACCCCACCAACATTTAAAACGGTGCAGGTATCTTTCCACTGTGTTGTGGCCCAAAGGTACTGTGGTGACAGAAGCATATATTAGACCAAAGAATACTGTGAAGTCATGGAAAAATTGTTACAGATCAGGGAGATGCACTGAAGTACTTACAGCCCCAGTTTAACATCCTAAAGATTCTATCATTTTGCCTCCTATCCTTACTAAACAAATACTAAAATAGAGACTTCCATGTCATACCAGTTATTTGCATTTCAAACAATACAACTAGAAACCACTTTTCCACTACCGTCTTTTACTTCAACAGCTGTCCCTTCCCACATCCCTGCCACTTCACTGCTCTGCTCTACAAACTGTTCTGTTAAGAAAGAAACATGCCCTAATTAGTCTCAGCCTATGCATGGCACCACAAGAAAGTTATAAAATACCTGTATTCAGGCTGCCGACTTATAGGATGATCATCCCTTGGCCATCTATATCCTGATTCATCCTGCAAAACATACATGCAAAACAATTGCGTGATGTGTATCTCAACATCAGATGTCTGGTACAGTTAGTTGCCAAATGGTACTTATTTACTGCAAAACCAAAGCACTTAACAAGGTAAAAGAAAGTATTAATCATTCACAGCAAGGTTCCTCTCACTCTATCCCATCCCTCTTATTTTCTTCCTCCACCAATACTAAAGAGAGCAACTTTGCAATGTTGTACAAAATGCAAAAACTACTAAAATTTCTGAACTATATACATAGGCTCTGACTTAAAAAAAAAATAAATTCCTGATTTAAACGTAAATTATCATTAATAGCTTGAAATTACAGAATTTCAAAGAGCTGGGTTGGAGAAGGCAACAGCAATGACCTTCAAAGGGACCATAAATTTTGTTCTTAAGCGTAGCTACTGCAGAAAAAAAAATGCATTCAACATAATGACAGAATTTAAATAAGGGAACAACTGTATGAATTAGAAGGATAGGTAGACAACATTCAACAAGTTGTATGTGCAAGGACTTGTCAAATAGAAAGAACTGGCAATCATTCTTTTGTTCATCCAGCGAGCTTTGCACTGCATTACAGAGAGGACTTCTGGACACCTTTGTTTTCTCAGTTCAGACTGTGAGCTTTCCACAGCGCCCCACAAGGGCTCTTTCCTAAGTCAGCAGAGTAGCAAGGAACCGTAAAAAGCAGGAACCAGGTATTACCATATAATCACAAGAGTCTTAGAAGCACAGGAACTGCAAAAAAGCACCAAGTATCAACACCTGGATGTTTTTTTCTATTCATTCTATTTCAGTTTACAGGAACAGCAGTAACATCAATGCTCTGTCTGAAATAATATTTTAATTGTTTAGTATTAAAGCATTAATGAGAAAATAAACATCATAAACACATGAGAAGAATTACCTTAGGTACGCCTCGGTGTGGAGGGCCACTTCTTCGGTCATGGGCAAAATTGCGACCCTCTTCATAGTCTCTGTACTCAGTGTGACTGTAACCATCATACCGACTGTAATTCCCATCCCCAGGTCTTTCGAGCAGCGGTGGTTTCTTGGGCACAATGTTTACTACTCTATGATAATCACCCTAAACCACAAAACAAACAAAATCATATTGCTTTTAACAGCTGGAAATCTGCAGTGAACACAAAAAAGTAAAACCGACAAGTTATTTCTAAGTATGGGACTATAATCGTTAAGCTGAAATAGCACAGGGGAACAACAAACGTTAAAAATCATGCCAGTCTGATGGTGGAATAACTTATTAAATCTAATTGGACACCATTCAGATGCAATCTTTAGGCATTACAAGTTTAATCATAGAGGGAAAATGTTCAAAGCACTTTAAGTTTCTTTTGAAAGTTTAAAGCAGAAGCATTAGCTACTTTCTATGCATCAGCTATTTTCTTTTTTTAAGCATTAGCTACACATGTTTCTCAGAGACTTTTGTTAACTTAGGAATGCAAAAGAAAGTTACACCTGTAACAACTCTAAAATAAAGAGCCCATTTGAAAATACTATCCATTTTCTTAACATCAGTAATATCCTTCACACTATGAGGATTATAGTGAAGGGAGTCCTTGCTTCACAATCTGATTAGAGAAGCACCCTCCCAATACAACGCAGTAGGTGATCTGAGGATTTAAGTGACAGAGACAGTTTTAACACTCTTGTTTTTTCTTTTAAGTTTCGGATAGCTTTTTGATAGAATGTAAAATTAATTTATTGTATTTCCTTCAAATAAAGTGTCATACACCATTCACCAATTAAAGAAATCCTTTGTTTATTAAGCACAAATTGCACAGTTGCAAAATATATGAATTCAGTTTTCTAGAACCAATCATAAAAGTCAATTGCAAATAAAAAGCAAACAAAAACATGAATGCAAGGCTTTGTATTCTAAGTCTTCTTTAGCAAGATATTCTTCCTACGGGCCTTAAAAAAAACCAAGCTATAAAATGCAGAGACTTGAGTTAGCTTGTGCAATTTGGAGGGGGAAAGACACTCAAACTGGCTTTTTTAATAGTAGTAGAAGTCACAATCCAATGCACCAATAGTTTTTGTAGAAAAATACATTAAATTCATGAACTGCTAAACATTGTCATGCAAAAAAAGTTAGGTTTGATTTCACAGACCACCCAACAAATTCACTAGAGGGCAATGCAAACCCAGCCTACAGCCATACTGATGCAAAAATAGAGACTACATATACATTCACATACAGCCACAATGCTTGATCTACCCTCACCTCATTGAACGGGGGTTTTTTTTTTCAGTTTCATGTCTTAGAGAAGATGTGCTCTGAAGCCAAAATAAAACTGCTCCATGCTTTAACCTCACCCAGAAGTCCCCATCGCATAAGTAAACTAACATACAAAAGGATGGCTACATGAAAGTTCAAGAGGCACCCACTTACAGTTAATTGTGCCAGGTCCTTGCGACTTCACGTTGTTTAACAGGATCTGAAAGCGTGTGTTTCTACGAGAGTCTATACTTGTCTATATAGCACCCAGTTTAGTTTAGGACAAGCCTCTTGCTCTCTCAAACAAGAGATACTTCATTCTGTATCAGTGGCATGTCTCAGTTTCAACACGCCAGCCTACCAGCAAATGCTAAGCACGCTTGCAGACTGAATAAATTAATTCCATTTTACTGGGCTTTAAGTCAGACCTCTATACGTAGACACGGGTACAACAGCACAGGCTTACAAGGACAGAAACTGCCTGCCAACTACCTTGAATCAGCAGAGCTGCATGAGAAGGAGCTTCACATCCATCTTTCCGTAAGGCAGAACAGTATCGATTGTGATAAATGAGAATATGCTGCCAGTCCCTTTATCCCCAGTTCCAAACACGTCATATGCATCACACCTTTTAAATTGTAAAGTAAATTTTCATAACCTATATGCCATGCATTGTTCCCTGGACAGCTTGAAAGACTAAAAGGATTTAGGAATATCACTGTTGCAATGGTCAAATTAAATTAGCAATATGTTAGTCAAGCCAAACATTGATTTAAAAAAATAAAAATCTGTGAAAATACATTCTGCTGTTCCTCATGTCCTATTGCCAATAAATATTTTGGAGAAGAAGCTGACTAAACACCCTGTGCAAACTTATCTGATTTCTAGTTTGCTGAAAACGCAGAAATTTTGTTGTTGCCTGTAAAGAGACCTAAAAATGTCACAGAGCAGCTAAACACTAATACACTACTCAATAGAGAAGACGATATAACGAGTTACCAAATTACCAACACTGGTACACTTCCAAAATGACAAGCTGAAAATGTGGTAAAGGGAACCCAGAAAGTATGCGAAATCAGCTAAGCTATTATCCCAATATTTAAAAGAATTAAAAGAAAAGCCAGATAACAGGCATAGGTACCTGAAATTCTATTTTGCCAAATATACATTGCACAGCATGTAAATAGAAATATCAAAAACAAGTCTTAACGTTCTGTTTGAGGGGTAATAGTTCAAAAGACAAAGCTACAACCTGTCGTCTTTCCTCTTTTGGACCCCTCAGTTCAAGAAGGGTGTGGAACTGCTTAAGTCCAGCGCAGAGCCACAAAGGTGACTAAGGGGGTGGAACATCTCCCTTCTGATGGAAGGCTGAGGGAGCTGGGTCTCTTTGGCTTGCAGAAGAGGAGACTGAGGGGTGACCTCATCAATGTTTATAAATACATAAAGGTGAGTGTCAGGAGGATGGAGCCGGGCTCTCCTCGGTGATGGCCAATGACAGGACAAGGGGCAACGGGTGCAAGCTGGAGCACAGGAGGCTCCACATTAACATAAGGAAAATCTTATTCACTGTGAGGGTGACAGAGCACTGGAAGGGGCTGCCCAGAGAGGTTATGGAGTCTCCTTCTCTGGAGACATTCAAAATCCGCTTGGACGCATTCCTGTGTGATCTACTCTAGGTGGTCCTGCTCTGGCAGGGGGGTTGGACTAGATGATCTTTCGAGGTGCCTTCCAAAACCTAACATTCTGTGAATCTGTAATTCTTTAGAGACTTCAAGACAGAGATTTTCTAAAAGCATTCTAAAGTTATCCTACAGCAGAGTAAGTCTAGCTTCTGTGTTTGCTTTCACAAGCATGACATACAGTAGAAGTCTTCATGCCAACAAAGTAGATTTCCATCAACATTCTTCTTGATAAGCATTTCCCTTACAAGGCTCCAAAACACAATTTCTTTAGCAAAGATTTGAAGAGAAAAAAAAAAAAAACAAGATTTAATTTTGTAGGCATCCTACTATTTCTGTGCATTTACGAGATTGTTGGCTTAAATGAATGAGAAAACAATGGAACTTGGGGTATACTACGAACTTTAATATGTACATAAATCCAGGCCTTATGGTACAAGTCATGGTATAAAGGTACAGTATAATGATATCATGCTAAAGAAACATACTATACACTTACATCAGGATGAATCCTTGGAGGGACACGTTCTCTTGGAACTCTTTCATAGTCATATCGCCCTTCGGACCACATTTCATCTCTTCGATACGCCACTAAAGACAATAAAAATCTAATTAGCCCAAACCAGACTCATTATGAATAGACGAAAGGATAGTGAGCATAGAAACAAAGGTTCCCAGACTTCTCCCAGTATAATGTATTATGCACAAGCCCTGTACGCACACTTTTTAATTTTAATTAGCTGTGTCGCGTTCGGTGTCTGGCGGGGTTTTGGTAGCAAGGGAAGGGGCTACAGAGGTGGCTCCTGTAAGAGGCTTCCAGAAGCTCCCTCCAGCTCCAATCCGGACTCGCCTCTGGTCAAGGCCAGGCCAATGGCACCTCTGCAAATAAACACATTTAAGAGGGGAAAAATCTCTTGGGCAAGTTTTTGTTTGGGAGTCTTTGTTTTGGGAGCAGAGGAGAGGAGGGCAATGGGAGAGAGCCAGCCCTGCGGACACCGCG